AAAATGTACCAATAAACTCAATGAAGAAAAAAATATCCTCATAGAATTGATATTAGATTCTTTAGCTCCAGTTTCCTGGGATTCTGAAGTAAAACTTCCCAATGTTAAACCATGTATCCACTTTTTTTTTTTTAGTATTGCTCACAGAAAGACTACTGAAAAAGAAACAAACTTCCATAGCTCTTACAATTACTAGAGTTTGCGAGTAAATCACACGGAACTTTTCGGTATTACATCACTTTATGTCCCCAGTTAAAGACATACCAGCTGCCTGCAATGTCATGGCGTACACCTGTTGATTGTAATTGCCGCTTCTTTTTTAATGCTACAAGTTCCTATTGCAATACTCTCACCATATTAAGATCAGATTTGGTAGCAAGCTACTGGATGAGTCAAGATTACAAATTGCTATTTCCCTAATCCGCTTTTATTCCAATTTCATGGTACTTTATATCGAGTTTGATTTTCAGTACTAGTTCAGATCTTCAGTGAAACGATCATGAGTCACTAGCAGGCACAGAGTAGAGACAGCCTCAGAAAGCACCAGAAGGCCAAAGAAAATTAAGGATCCTCCCGGCATTAATCAGGACTCTAGTGAAGCAGGTTCTGCCTCTCAGCACAGCTGCTAGCAGAGAATCAAGCCCTGTGCCTCCTCAAGCCCAACCTTACGCAGCATCTTAGGCAGGGCTGGCCCTCAACCTAATCTCTGACCACTTTGCCCAGAATCAAGCTTCTTATAACACCACAACGCTGCCTGTTATTAAAATTTTGCACAGTTCTCGGGAAATGTGTGTCATTATCTCCAAAGAGCACTGGTCAAAACGCACATCACGCAGAGAATTTGCACGCCGATCCCATTACTGATGACGTGTTTCTGATGCTGTGAAGAAGCCCACAATCTGAGTCACTCCATTTAAAGGTGAGAAGGCGCCAGAAATCCACCCCTCCCTCCATACCGTGCCCCCCACCCCAACTCTCATCACACTTTCTACCCTGAACTTGCTGGAATCCGTAGCCTTTTATACCAGTCTACATGAGCCATCCCAGAAGCCCTAGACTAGTCCTGCCTACTGCAATATGGTTCTGTACATCCCTATTCTGCTCTCTTCGGCTTCTCCCAGACTTCTGAAACCTTCCAGTGCACCCTCTCTAACTCACAACTCAGCAAATCTCTCTGCATTTCAGCCTAGTCTCTGGGATGTACACTTTAGAGCCTTGGTCTAACCAGATTTTTCTCTGAGCACTAATTTCTCTGCAATCTTCTCAAAAGATGGCGGCTTGTCTCCCACAGTCTGGGAGCCTGCAGTAGACCAGGTGCCCTTATTTGACTCTTTTGCATTCAGACCATTCTTCCTTCCTCCTCCCTCAAGCCCCCAGCTTTAAATCTCCATACCTGCCATTGCTTTTAACCACCAACCTCAATCCCTTCTCCCTTATTTCTTGATGATGTTTTTAGTTCTGTTTTGCTTGCTGCCTCCGATCCTGCTCTTGTCCTGTTTTTTGGGTGAATTTCATCCGTAGTATGATTGCAAATATGTTCAAATCTTTAAATTTAAATTTTAAAGAATTGTTACAGTAAAAGATTCATTGCTGTTAACCCTCACCAAAATCCTCCCCTTACTTCAAACACACTCATGCCGTCACTTTTGCCACTTTCTGAAGCAGTCCCGGAAGTCTTTCTTTATTGAGTGACTTTAGTTTTGCTGTCATGGCTGCCTCGATGTTCTACACTGAATCAAAATGTTTACCTTGCGCGGTCATTTTGACTTTGGAGAAGAGCTAGAATTTGCACCAAGCCAGATCTAGTGAATACGCAGCTGAAGACACACCGTAATGTTTTTATGAGCCTGCACCAACCTTCACTTTATTTTCATCCCACTTTGTAAAGACACAAAAGAGAACTTCCAAACGCGCCTCAGAAAGTGGCACCAAGGATGGGATGACAAGTGTGTTCAGAGTGGGGGGGGGAGGGCATACTGAAGGGGTTTGATAGCAATGTTGCTATTTTACTACCATTGCTTCTTAAAATTTTACACATTCCCCATATATTTTGATCATCCTCTGTCCTTGCATAGAAACAATTCGGCCTGTCTCTCATTTTCCTGGGCTTCATTCTTCCAACAATCTTGACCTCCACCCTATCCCAGCTACTCATTCCCCGAAATTTAATTTTGTCTTTATCCACTCTCTGATCTCCACTTCCTATTTTTGTCACTCTTCTCCTATAACTCTAACCTCTTGGACACCCAATCAATTGACTCTTTTTTTATGTTCCCCCAGTCCCCTGCCCTCATACCCACCTTAAATTCTGTGATCAGTCATTGTAAACATATCTATATACCTTTCCTCTTGGACTTTACCTTAGTTTGATAAAATCACCAACTCTTTACCTACTCTGATTTGCACCATGTAACTGTACATGGCCTTGAACACACACACACACACACACACACACACAAGTACACACAAAGCCAAGTGAATGGGTTTCCCTTTAAGTTCATCACCACCATATTCAAGTGAGCCCTTAACACTGCCAGGAAATTAATGACGCTGAGCATCACTAGTCCGTTCATTCTTGCAATATCTTGAGCTATTTGACACTCTCTCCTCTTTCCCCTACTCATTCCCCTTGAAGAGGGATCTCACCTGATTCCTTGCCTCCAACTTCCCTGAGAAAAGTGAAGCAATCAGAAAAGGCCTTCCAGAGATTCTCTCCACCTCATCGACCCACTTTTAACATCTGACCCATATACTCTGCTTTCCCACTTGTTACCGCGAATCAACTATCGCTCCATCTGCCTAAGGCCAGCACTTCCACTGTGCCCTGGATCCTTCTCCAAGGATGTGACCCTAGAAACTCTTCTCTCACATGTCATCAGCTACTTCTCTACACTCTGATCAGCATACAAACATGCTATCATTTTTATCTTCGTTTTCCCTTTATTTTCTATCCTATTTCCTGACTTCGCTATGAAGCAAAAGTGCCAAAAAGCCGACTGTACTTACTGCTCCAGTTCCTCTTCTATCCTCTCTCAAACCCACTCCAAAGAGGTTGTTTTTCCCACCACTGCACTGAAAACCTCCTCTTGCAAGGATGAAATGACCGCCTCCTTATTAATACAATTGCTGGTTCTCAGTCTTTGTCTTGCCTGACTCACCTTTTGATCTGATGGCAGCTGTTCACCTCACCCTCTCCCTCTTGGGTCACATTCTGCACTTGGTTTCCAGGACACAAAACCCTCCTTATTGTCCTCTTACTTTAGTGGTTTGCTGTCAGAATCTTTATTCTTGTTATTCTCCTCAACCTTTGTACTTCGCCGTACTTGATCGTCTTTATCTCTGACTGTATGCACTTCCTGGGTGATCTCATACCGTCTCATAGCAGTTAAGTATCATTTCTATTGCCAACAAATCCGAAATCCGTATCTTCATTTTATGGACCTCAGATTCCAAACTCATCTCTCTAATCCCTACTCACATTTTAGTCTGGTCATCTATAAGACATTTCATACCTATGTGCCCCAAACTAAACTCTTGATTTTCCTCCCTCAAATCTCCACTTGCATTCCCTCTGCTCCCATTCAATTGATGGCATATTCATCTTTAAATTCACTAGGGCTCAAAATCATAACTTATAGCTCTTCTCTTTCACACCCTACATCTATACATCAGGAGGCCCCAACAGCCTTATGCTCAAATTGTATCCACAATTTGACGCTTTTCACCACTTCCTCTGCTATCTCTCTTCTGAGTTACCATCAGCTCCTGTTGGGATTTCTTCGAGAGCCTCCTAGTATTTTTCCTGCATCTACTCTTGCCCCACACTAACCAAAATGAGCCTTTCAAACTGTATACCAGATCACATCCCTCCTTCTCTTCACAACCCTACAGTGGCTCCCATCTCAGAGCCAAAGCCAAAGTCCTCCTAATTGCTTACCATGTCACGTGTGATCTTGCCTCCCATGTGACTTCCCTGACCTCGTCTGCTGTTCCCCTTGTTATTCATCAGACGTGTCAAGCAGCCTTCTGTCCGAGGCCTTTGCAGCACCTCTTATCTGGCCTGGAATGCTCTCTCTGAATTGCTCCCTCGCTTTCTTCAAGTCTTCAAACACGACCTCGACACCCACCTTCTTTAATACTATATGACTTTTGTTCTTGCTTTCCTAGCATTAAATTCCATTTGTTTATTGTCTGTCTTCTCCTGCTAGAATATAAGGCTTTTCAGGCCAAGGACCTCTACCTTCTTTATTCATAGATATAACACAACTGTATGGAACAATACTTATCGTACAGAAAATGCTCAGCCAATAGTTGTTGACTGAGTAAATTCACCAAACATCATAAAATATAAATTGCAGAAAATTAGTAGAGGGAAGTCTAGGTAGGAACTAGATATTTTGTTGGATGTCAGGGAAGACAATAAGGGATAAAGGGGATAATGTGGGATTTGACATAGTATTAAAGGCAATTGTCTATAAGTTGGCCTTCAGCTCTCGATGCAATTCAGTTGTCATAAAATCGGGTCATCAGCCCAACCTGTCAAGGTAAACAAGTTCCTGACACAGAGAGCCTCAGTTTAACTGTGAAATAGAAATAATATCTCTTGCCGATTGTGGTGGTGCACACCTGTAATCCCAGCACTTGGGAGGCTGAGCCAGGAGGATCTCCATGAGTTCAAGGCCAGTCTGAACTACATAGTGAGACTCTGTCTCAAACAAACAAATAAACAAAAAAGAAATAACAGGACTGACTTGCAGGATTGACACGAGAAGCAAGATAATGTAAACGTCAAGTGCACAGCCCAGCACCTGGGACACATTGGGTGCTCTAAGATATAGGTGCTATTATTTCTCAAACACCCATGTGCTATTTGCTTCCTGAATTCATGGAGAACTCAAGGTGGTGTAATTACCACAATTCATCAAGAATTGTGAGACTTTCCTTGAATGTCACCTAAAGAGAAAATATCAACAACCTCCGCTAGATGGCACTGTGTCCCAGGCCGATTTCCTTTACTTCAGTGTTTTTGAAATACTGTATAATTGTGTAACGGATGCCCTCTGCTGACTTTCCTTTTTCTCGTCCTTGAGACTTTGGCTTCGAAGATGTAAATGATGGTTCCATATGCATCCTCGCCTTTTCCTAATACGAAGATTTAAACCCACAGCTACCCACATCCTTTCTCAAAAGCTTACACACTAACAGCACAGACATAACATGACACCAACAGGATCTCCACACAATCGTGCCAGTTTTTACACTCATACGCACATGCCTTTTAGCTACATGTAAGTCATAAAGCAGCCGCATCACAAATAAAGCAAACTGGAGCCCTGTAGTTTCACCTCTCCCTGATCCCATCCAGCCCAACTTGAACCCTTAGCACTGGTATCAGTCAGCTTTATGCTGCAGACAAAAATACCCAAGATAATCAACTTAAAGAAGGAGATTTCCTTTCAGTCCGTGAACACCAGGCCGCATTGCTTTGGACCCACGGTGAGGCAGAACATCATGGCGGGAGTGCTTTGCGGAGCAGTTTCTCGCCTCTTGGCAGACGGGAAGCAGAGACAGGAAGGTCCCAGTGTCCCTGCAAGGGCACCTCCTGAAGGTTCCCAAACCTCCTAGTGGCACCACAGGCCGGTGACCAAGCCTTTAACACCTGGGCCCGTGGGAAGCAGTTGAGATCTCGCAGGTATAGCAAAGCTGCCTCCCACCCCTTCCTGCTTTCCTTTGCACACCATCACCTAGGAGGGCAAGGAGTAGACTGGGGCTGAGGGGTTGCAGAGCGAGAAGGGCGGGCAGCTTATATGAAGTCTGCTCAGAAGATACACTGAATACATTTTCAGATGTAGCACCAGTAAGAGCACACCACCATTTATTCCCCTCAAAATTCTCCCGCTGGCTTCAGACACACTTTACTGCACGGTTCTGGCCACTTTCTGAAGCAGTTCTGGAAGTCCTCTTTCATGGACGTCTTCATTTGAGCTGTAATAGCTGCCTTGACATCCTGAATGGATTCAAAACATTTACCTTCTGTGGTCATTTTTGACTCTGGAGGAAAGCCAGAAGTCATGTGGTGCCAGGTCCGGTGAAGTGGTGAAGGAGGACGCACTGTAGTTTTTGACAGATAGACATAAACATTTTGAACCAGTTCAGGTCATCAAGGTGCTCTTGAAGAGACATTTACAAGAGAACTTCTAGAACTGCCTCAGAGTGGCAAGAGTAATGTGATATGTTCAAAGCAAGGGAGAGTATTTTGAGGGGGGTTAACGGAAATGTGTCTTCTATTGTAAAATTTAATTTTTAAGCATTGACCATTGTTTCAATCACACTGCATATATGCAGTATTTGACAGGTTGAGATTTAATTACGCTACTGTAACCTCTCCATCTTACTTTGTCCCCACAATCACATTCTTCACAAACCCAAATCGTTGATATTCTACTCGCACCTTTCAGTGTGCTTTAAACTAGATGGCTGACTAGCTCACTGAATGCAAGCGGTGGGTAACACCCAGCAACTGTCGTCACTAAGGGATACCAGACATTTTCTAGGCCTCGATTCCTGCGCCAGTGGGGACCCAGTGACACCCACCTCAGATGAGCTGCATCAACCTCAGCAATACCTAAGGGCTCAGGGCCTCTTCACAAAACATGTATGGCTTATTTATTAGCAACTTTTCCTAAATCTTTTAAGAATCCATTTTATATTCCAGGCCTGTACTTTACAAAGGCAGAAAATGTATTAAATTATATTTTGTCTTAAATTTACCCTGCTCCAATTTTGAGTATCTTCTCCTATGTCATTATTTGGCGAACAAATCACTATCTGCTTTCACCCTTTGCAATTCATTTTTCCTGTGCCAGGAATCAAACTCGAGGCCTCGCACATGCTAGGCAAGTGCTGTACTGGTGAGCGACACCCCGCACACCCGCTTAGTATTTCCCAGGCAATATTCCAACTCCTTTGAGGCATCCAGGCTGTTTTCTGTTCTCTGATCCATTTTCACAGGGGGGCAGCCTCCCTTCTCTTTGATTTGTATCTTTTGGCTTATTCTAGCTTCTGTGACCTATTCCTAATTCCTTGATAGTCCAGTTGTAGATCAGTACACTGCAAAAGCTAGAGAAGTGATTGCACACACACACACACACACACACACACCACACACACACACACCATTCTCTCTTTGCTCTGCATGCCCTTGCACTTTGCCTTCTGATGTCAGAAAAATCATCAGACAACTTGATGGATGACGTGGTGTTATTCTTTTAATAAGTAGAAACCATATCACTTCATTTGCTCTTGCAAATAGTACATGAGAGGCAGTCATTTAAGAGGGAACCAGAAAGCTTTCCCATCTACAGAATAGCAGAAAGGATGAGTGCCTTCACCGTACAAGCCTCTGGTTAATTGGTTTTTCTTCTGATCCCCGCTCTCACCCACATCAGCCTGCTACTTCCAGAGTGGAACTCCACCTTCACACGTTACACTGGCAGGACCCTTGTCTACCGCCCTAATACCGTGGAAGTCCTTAAATTAGCTGAGGAACCTGGACAAGTCTTCTTTGATTTCAGCTTCATCCCAAGGTCCATGAATGTTTTCCTTAAAGAGCTGCAGGCGAATGAGGTAGAAAGGGCAGAGACATGAGATGGAAAACAGCAGAAGGGCAAAGAGTACGGCTCCCACAGTGCTGATGGACAGCAGGCCTCCAAAGGCTGCAACTGCAAAAATCAGGGTTACCCCCACATAGCTGCGGGGAGTGCATGCCTTCAGTTTCTTCTGTAACATGGGCCACAGGGCAAAAATCTGGATGGCAAACGTCACCATGATGAAGGCATGCAGGGACCGGGGAAGACGTGAAGCCAGGCAGACGGAAGCAAAAATGGCCATGTTCAGGGACAGCGTGCTGGATACGATGGCAGCATTGGCGCCATAGTCAAAGAAGATGAGGTGGCCTAACAGCATGAAGACTGACATGGCATAGATGGTGTCTGTGCTGACAGACTCTGTCAGGGTCTTCAGCACTGGGGAAAAACCGTAAGTGAAAGTAATGAAGACAAGGGCACTCTTCAGGTCAGCCCAGCGGGTTCGCCCACTCTTCTTCCGCCCTTGGCCTCCATCGATGAGATCGAATAGGACATATCCAATCAGTGAAGACGCCAGGCCAGTTCCTAACAGCCAATGAGGGGCCAAAAGACCCTCATCCATGTACCACCAGATAACCACAAAAACACAGACGCTGCACAGCTGTTGTATCACCACACTGGACTCAAACACCACGGCCCAATATTGGTATTTCCGGGCATAAATGTTCTTCCGGAGCTCTTCCAGGAATCGTTGGTCTACATAGTTATCAGGGAAGGGCTGTTGTTTGTACAACACCTTCTGCCATTTGACCTCTGTAGTGGAAGTTTCAGGTTGGTCACACATTATTTTGTCCTTTCTCAAACTTGGGCCAAGAAATCCCTCTCAAAAATGTTTCCACATGGCCCTTGTTCTTTATGAAGTCTTGAAATAAGAGTTCGCTGAAAATTCCATGCTGGAATTCTACCTGAATTTCTTCCTTTGCCAGGGCGGCAACTTAGGGACTTGTCATAAGTGCGTTCGTTCTCTGCGGCAGGACAACACAGCCAAGTTCCTAGAAAAAGAGAAACTTGTGAATATGGCACGTGAAAGTTGTAAAGGGTCAACAGTAGGATTCAGTTAAAACTCAAACCAACTCAGTTTACTAAAAGTCTAGATAAAATGCATCTGGTGATCATCTTACAGTCTGGAGCACTTTATACATTTCATATTCTTTTTGTTTGTAAATTCAGACTTTCATAAGCCTAATGACTTTTAAAATGTTTAAAAATTTTATTAGTACATGTTTCCAATCATGCAGTTTACAGTCATCTTGGGGAGTCATTACATATAGGTATTACAGCTTGTTTCTTTTTCTGTTTAACCCTTTCTCTCCCCTGCTCCCCTCTACTCCTCCTGTTCCCTGATGTATTTCATATTTTTAAATTATAATCCTTTGAAGAATAGGCATCTGTTAGCTATCACCTGGATACCTACTATGCGCTAAGTGCCCTATGCATTTTTAAAATTTAATCTTCACAGCTTTGCAAGTTGGTATTAATTAGTCCTGTTTTAAGTAGTACACAGTTAACTCAAATTGTTTAGGTATCCTTGGCCCAGGTAACAAGAGTAGTTAATGATGGGGCCAGGATTCAAACCAAAGTCTGGTCACAAAGCCTGTGCCTCACTTTATTACACCCGCCTAAATCAGTCTCAACGACAGGCTGCAGGTACCCAAGGTACGCACTACTGCAATTATGCAATCTTACAGGGATACAGTCCATAGATTTTATTAAGGTCTCAGAGACAGCTGGGTTTTAAGATCTCTGTTTTAAGGAAAACAGGAAGGTAAAGGTGGGAGCTCTAGGGTTTAGAAAAGTCAAGGACTCGAAGAAACTATTCTTGACCCATTAAATGAGCGTATGAAGAGCTATCATCCTACTTCAAACAGCAAACATATTATGAGGATCGAAGAAGACAATCGTCCCTTTTTCACAAAGGGAAAACTACAGTCAGACACACCGGTGTCACCCAGCAAATCTGACCAAAATAAGTGCCTCTGTCCGGCCTTATTTCTGCCGTGCAGACCGTGACAGGCTCTGCTTCGACACCCTGGGTGCCGTCCCGCGGCGGGGACCCAGCCCGGGATCTCACGGCGGCCGCAGGGGCGGAAAAGGCTACGGCGCTGGGCCTCGGGGTCGGGGACAGACGGGGCTAGACGTCCCGGGCCGCCCCACTCACCCTCCGGGCTCCCAAAGGTGGGTCGGCCGGAGGCGTCAGAGGAGGAGGAGGAGGCCCGGAACCACTGACGCCCACTCGGAACCCACCTGCCCGCCAGCCCGCGGGAGTGCGCCGGTAAGCGAGGCAGGACGCCCCACCTTCCCTATCCGGGGCACCCAGGTAAGGGCTGCGGCCGAGAACTTCCGGGTCCGGCTCAATCGCGGCCAGAGCGCCCTTCTGAGACCCGGGCGGGGAGAGGGCGCTGCTGCCCCCTGCTGGCCGCTAGGCTCCACACACTCCACCCCGGGCCTGGGAAAAGCAAGGCACAAACGGGCCAGGTAAAGCAGCAGAGGACAGGTACAGAGGCTGGGCTGGCAGAAGACAGATAGTAGCAGCCATTTTTGTTGAACTCCCACTATTATGTCGGGTCCTCAGCTACAGATTTCCCCTGCACGCATTGTTCCCGGGACAGACCCTCACCCAGAGCCTCCAGGTGTCAAGCCCTGCTTTTGTGCTCAGGATACAGCAGTGGACAGCACAGATAAAACTCCTATCTCTTATGGAGCTTGCTTCAGTGTGCAGAGACTTTCACCGTGATGACATCATCAGAAGGTGGGAATTTGTCTGAGGCGTGCTTGACCCGAGATCAATAGTACCCAGTTGTCTATGGGTTTCAAGCTTTCTTCTTTCCTAAATTTCACCTCCTTAAAGGGTTGGAGGGCCTTGTTTCTGAAAACACAACTTAGAAAAAGAGATTGCTTACATTCAGCTCAATTAATTGGAGCGCTACACGATGTAACAATGGAAGTAATAAAGAAGCAAAGGGAGACTGGAACACAGGATACAGTGGACACAAGAGCCAGGAAACACGAACCCATTTACTCAGGATAATCCACATTATCGAGCTTTAATTTCTTCGTCTTTAAAAGGGAGGCAACACTTATTTGCTCTTGGCTATTTTATGGGGTGAGTAGAAAAATGAAATAGAAAAATGTTTTGCAAAGTGTGGACTGCTAATGGCTGCTATTAGCTTATTTTGATCATCATAATGATAGTAATGGTCAAGTCTGATAAAATCTGAAATTTGATCTCTCCATTTCTTCCTAGGTTGCTGTTCCAAAATTTGACAAGGTGCCTTGGCTTAGTGAAGCCAGCCTCACAAACAAGCCACTAGTGCTCAGTCTCCCAAAAAGGTAATGGCTCAACCACTGAAGACAAAATTTTCAAGAAAAGTCTCACATGAGATATTTCCTGAAGGGGGAGGAGGGGCAGTTTTCAGAGGGTGCATTTGATTGGTTGAGAAACCAAATCAGGCAGTCAAAAAACAAAAATGTCTGGGATTCTCAGAAGAGGTTATCTCTGAGTGTAGGCGTGGCTGGAGGTGAGACCCCAAATAACCTTCTTCTGTACCACCACTACTCAACAACACAAGAGAAATTTGCCCTTAGACTCTCCCTCTCGAAACACCCTTCCACATTCTTCATCATCCCATCTTTTCCTTCTCTGCTGTAGTGTGAAATTTTCACATTTTAACCATGAGAAGTCTAGACCTATATCTTCCCATCTTTATGGTATAAAGTTCCCCGTGTTTAATATTGAGACAATCTCCTCCAGTCTCATCTGTCTTGCTGCTTCTTTTAATCAAAGCAATATAGAACACATATTTCTTCTGCTTTGCCAGACTGGAGAAATTTGTGTGCAGGGACATTTTGGCTTCCACTTGAAATAACTGGGCTACCTCATTTCCCCCCATTTTTTTTCTGATGAAATTGTCCCTTGGTATGGTGATACACCCTGCTCTGGGAAAATAAAAGACAGGGTGGAATGGGAGAAAGTCAGAGCAACGGCAACTCCAGTGACAATTTCATAAGCACACGATAGGCTAGATAGGTCAGCTAGCTGGCATGTGGACAGCTTGCTAGGAAGAGCTACAGGACTCTTCATTCCTGCTGGTAAATGCCACATGCCCTCCTGCCAATGTCATCAGCGAGGGACATCCCAGCACCCTCTCCAGGACATTCCTACTTCAGTGACACATAACTTTTGTTTTGTTTGCTGCACTTTAAAATACCACAATCTCAGTGAACAGTTTTGTGTATTTTCAGAGTAGATGAACAAATTCATATTGCTAATTTCTTTTTTTTTTTCTTATAGGTCTTTGAATATATCTAAAACAAACAATTAGGGGTTAGGTAAACCCAGAACCTTGCTTAAGAAATGAAAACATTAATATAGTTCTTAGTAAGAGCTGCTCATACTTCAGAAGTCAGCGTGAATCATGTCAGTTTAGCATCTTTTAATTGGGCGTAGGGCACAAGCGCCCATGCTGATGACAGTGAAGAGGGTGGCAGAATGCGGACAGCTGGCCAGAGGGAGACTCCAGTGACTGGGCGGTCACCCTCTGACCAAAGGTGATTCATAGCCAACCCTCTGCCCCAGTCAGTGTTGCCCATGGGTATGTGAGTCCATTGGCTAAATCTGGGTTGTCATCGAGAAATCTTGAATTATTAGATGTGAAACTGCTTGTGTTTGACATCTAATAGGCTGACTTCCCACCATCCCGCACTGCCCTCATTAGACCTTTTCCTGCGGCCAGGAGAAAAACATTCTTGTTCACAGTTCTCTTGCCTGTAGCCCTCTTGTTCTCTAATTATATATATTCTCTTAATTATTCACGCTCTCCAATTATACTGGTAGAAGGTGGAGAGCAAAGAACAGGGCAGGGTTTGAGGAAGGCAGGTGCAGGACACAACTGGCATTCCCAGAACCCAGAGTGTCAAAGAGGACAGTCTATAGCCAACAGCTGGGAAAGGAAGGGATAGGTTTTCTTCTAGCTGGACGAATTAAGCTAATGTTGGTTGAGGAGAAATTACCTAAGGTGGGCAGAAAAGGTCTGCTCCTTTCCATGCTTCAGTTTCAAGCCCAGTTTAGAGAAATGGAGCCCATTATGGAAAGCCCAAGATGGCCGGACAGCACTTATGCAGTGCCCTGAGCTCTCCCAGGACAGGACAGGACAGGAGGGTCCCTGGAAAGGAAAGGACGGGATGGTTGAAGTATCAACAGTTCTTAAGGCTTCGAGACTGTTCCTCTGTCCAAATCTGTGGGTCTCCAGCCGTTTCTTTTTGACAAAACTCTTTTCTGAGACCTTGGAGGGTAGTTCTCCGGGTGCTCCAAATAGTCCAAAGCCTTGGGCCAGCTGTAACAGAACTGCTGGAAAAGATAACAGAGCATTAAGTGCTGTGTATTCAGAGCACCCCCTCTGGGAGCTTTGGAGACTCTTGCATTTCCTTTCCAGTGGGACTCTCCCAGGTTGGCCCAGCAGTATTAAAGCCAGGCTCGCCATCAGTTTCCAAAGCCCTTTAGGTCCTGTGAGTCCTGGTCACGTGAAATGAATATGCCCTGAAGCAGTTGTAAACTGGATTGTTGGAGTGTCCTGGTCAGTATTTGGGTGCTGCATCCAAAGCAGCCCATGCCATGTCAAAGGCCAGGTCAGTTGAAGGAGCTGGGGGAAGACTCACCTCTCCTGGTGAAGCCCAGGGGCCGAGGGAAGTGGAGGAGGAATGAAGCAATAAACGCCTTACGAACAGCAAGCTCCTTTCACAGGCCTTCACTTCACATGAACCATGAACAGTGAAATCTCTCCTCAGTAGAAAGGAGAGGTGTTCTTGGCAAAACCACCAGCATTCCAAGGTTCTGTTTCTTGGCTGCCAGGGGCATGCGCAGTGCTGCATACACAGGCAGTGAGTGATCACCAGGTCCCTGCAGGCCTTGGCTGCTCACACTGTAATACAGTGAACCTCAGTGACAAGGGAGGCAGCCCAGTCCAATCCCCGTGTCACCTGTGCCCCAGAACAATGATGGTTAGAAAGCAGTTCAGTGCTAGGAAACAGGTAGATTGTTTCAATGTGCAGAGACACGAGTGCCAGGCAGGAAAGGACAGGCACAAGTTAAATGTCAAGAATGGCAGTCTGTGCAGGTTCTTTCAGACACCTGGGGTGCCTTTCACCATGACCCTCTTCATTTCTGATCTTCTTCCTCCCTTATTTGTACACTGTTGACAGTCTAGACTTGTCATTGATTAGTCTACAACAAAAGGGAGTGAGGAGCAAAAATGATAAAGGAGGGCAAAGCTCTCTTTTAGACGCCTGTTGAAGGCTGGAACTTTCCAGAACCAGCGTGGGAGGACACTCCATCAGTGTCCCCAGGGTTCTCTCGGAAACAAACAAGGACCTGGCTCTGCAACTGTGGGCTGGGGTTCTAACGTTCTCTTCCTTTGATTTCTTAGATTTCACTCCTCTGCTGATTTTCTGACTTCATCAAAGAGGTACATGAATTCACCTATTTTGTTTCAAGTTCCAGATGTCTCATCGAAGGTACTCATTCTTTTTTTAATTGACATGAAACCGACAGCAGTTCTAGGATGGCATTGGATGTGCAATATTTCCTCCCTTAGCACAGCCCCAGGCCTGGCATATGGTCAGTGTTTGATAAGTATCTGTCTGATAAAATGATTGGGCATCAGCTCCTCACCTGTCTCCAACGCCTTAGGGACTCAGGCCACAGAACAAAGAGTAAAGAATAGAGGAATAAGGTTCAAATCATCCAAAATGAAAATCAAGAATTAAATATGGAGCAATTGGTCACAAGACCTTTAGAGATTGCTTCTCAGTCTGTGGCTAGATGAGTTCTAGTTTCTGGAGTTTTTGACCACTTCCTTCCCATCAGTTATCTATGCCTCCCACCTACATGTCCCTACACCTGTGGAATTGTACATTAGAAATTATTTCCTCTCCAGCTCACAGGAACCAACCACAAGAACCAGCAGAACCAGCAGCAAGCTTCTCAGTTGGTCTCTTGGCTTCCTATTTAGACAGGCTGCCAACAATCGGCTTGTCCTGTGTTCCCTCCAGGTCTGCAAGTAAAAACCAAGGCACTGAGACACCACACACCAATTTGGCTGGGACAGAGAGTGAGGGAAGAAAGCATTAATTACGACCAGGGGAAAAGACAGGCCTTCCTCTAGTCAGTGATGGTGAACCTTTTAGAGATGAGTACCCAAACTACTACCCAAGACCCACTTATTTAACAAAAAATGACAACACTGCAATTAAACCTGAATACTGAAGTTTTAATTTAGAAAAAATGACTCATACATTAACATCTTTTGTATTAAAAGAAAAACAAATAACGCAGATACCATAGGTTCGCCACCGCTGCTAGCTGAATTTAGTGTCTTTATGGCTGCAATATTCATGGATGACCACTAGGTAAGGCAAGAGGGGCTTGGCCAATAAGTGACCTGTTACAACTCCTGCTGGTAGAGAACATGTGTATCCTCACCCTCACCCTCATCCTACTGGAGACTGACCTGCCACTGGTCTGTGTATGAGCAAGAGTTGCCCTTGCAGATTGAAAGGCAAGTAGGAAGCCTGGGATCCCTGTTCTGTTGAGGCTGCAGGCAGGCACTCCAGGTCAGATCCTTGCCTGTCACAGAGACTCCCCTCAAATCTGAATCTGGCCACAAGAGTTTGCTGTGAGCACAAAGCCCTACATGCATGTGCTGTGAAGAAAACACTGGCTCAGCCAGCAGCTGCTCCTTTCCTGAAAGAAACTACGTGTGCCTCCTGGGAGTGGAATGCACTGTGGACACTCTATCTCCCCTTTATGCTCTTAATCAGGGACCTGCCAAGAGGCTGCCGGCCATCCCACAGCCACCCAGAGAGAGGCCTTGGGTCCTGTGTACAGGCACAAAGGTCCTGCCACCTGGCTCCCTTCCCCTGTGCCATCGCAGGGCAAAGGGCAGAACTTGGAACACTCACAGTCCCGGTGGCTTTCTTCCCTGGCACAGGAGCACACGTGCCTGGGGCCACGTTCTTCACGGGACAGAGAAAAATCAGAAGGCAAGTGGGCGGGACACATGGCAGCTGGGCCCCAAACCCAAAAGAGAAGCAAAAGGAAGCACAGATAACAAAGAAAAAAAGTTTTAAACAAAACAAAAAAAGCCTAAAATTTTTCTCATTTACCTGACAGAGGCTTTTTCATTGCTCAGCAGGTCCACAGGCCATTTCCACATGCTGACCTTTGACTTCTCAAGATGCTGTAAAATGGCGTAAAATGGGACGGTGTGTGGTGTGTTGTAATCCTTAGATAATTGTGTCAAATGTGACTTAATTATCCTCAGCAAGGCAGCAGCAGAAATGTGTGGGTGACCTGGGCCACTGCCCTGGATACCCCAAACCCCTCTGCCCCATCCTGGGGCTGGGTATAAACCAGTCAAAGGTGCTCAAAATGCCACCCTGCCCCCTTAAGTCTTGCCCCCACTCCCTCTCTACTCTCTTTAATCAGTGTTTGTTGTTCCAGTTTAACGGGGCCAAGTAAAGATAAGAACATTTTGCTTTTAGCAGAACTGTGGTAAAAAGCCTTGTTGAAAAGATCGTGGCAGTGGTGCAGCTGGGAAAACACGTGGAGGGTGACTTCCTATTTTCTCCTTTCTCTCTCACTGACCCAAAATTTTATTTTATTTTTTTTTATTTTTTTTTGTTATTGAGTTTATTGGTACATTTAGGGATACAGTACAGTTACATTCATTGTTGGGATCATGTACCTTTACATGGCAAGTCTTGATTCTCATTTTTTTCCCCTTACCTCTGCCCTCCCTTCACCCCCTCCTCCCCTCCCCATCTACAAACACTTTATTTTCATCTTTTCATTCTCTCACATTTTTTTCTTTTCCCTTTTTGTTCTTCCCCTACGTATCACACCTTCCCTACACCTTTAGCTCCTTTCCTCCCATTTCTAAATGTCAGTAATCTTATTAGAATCTTATGCATTGTTAGAAGCTCATGATTTCCAAGAAAACTATCTCATAGACTCCTAAGTCATTTTCCTATTTATATTGACCAAACACATATAACTGTAAGTATAATTTTAAAAGTGAATAATGAACACCATTTGCCTGAAATAGTCATGAAAACTAAGGTTAATAAGTCTAGAGTTATATGGATGTCTCCTATTTTGAGTATGTTTAAAATTTTCTTCTAGTGAATAGTAAGAGCAGTTTAAAAACTATTTTCAGCTCCATTCTTTCATAGAAATGCCTGGTATTTTCAGATAGAAGGAAAAGGTGTAGTCATTGTATTTTTTTTAATATTGAAAATAGTTCTCAGAACACTACTTCTTGCACTCTAAGGCATATAGGGATAACTGTAACTTCATATGGGTTCTTACAGTCACATTTTCCCTGAAATCTGTCTTTGAGCCTTTTATCCAAAACACTTTCCAGCCAACTGAAGTTAAATGATGTGTTCTTGGAAAGGTCTTTTAACCTTCCTGGGCCACGATTACCTCATTGGGTTCATTGAAATAGTTGAAACAAGCAGTCTATGAGATACTGCTCAGTTAAGTTAGAGTAGAAGGAGCAAAGGAAATAGGCGTATTAAAGGACATGAAGGACAAAGGGAAATTTGTTGGTGCTCTGCAAATCATGCTGATGACGTCTATTTTTAAAATCGCCATCTGGTGCTTACATTTTCAGTTTTTGTTATATGAATGGGTGTGTATGGGGGGAGGGGAGAAGGGAAAAGGGGAGGGGAGGGGAGAGGAGAGGACAGGACAGGACAGGAACGGAGGGGAGGGGAGAAGACAGAAGAAATCTCTTTATCAAGGATTTAAGAAGGCCAAGGACTTGGGCCATGAACCAGCCCTTATGAACCCCAGAAGATATGGTCCTAAGATGTTTCCGGTTATGAACTGTGAAGAGCAGACTTTGACTTCCGGGGAGAGGCTGTAATCTGCATCACACCTCAGCTATGCCATAAACAGGTTGCTGTCCCTCTCCAGTCCCAGCTGCTGTCTGCTGTGCTGAGGACAGCTGCTCAGGAAATGGGGGCCCCATTAACATTTCAACACCTCTGACTACAGAGATGAGATCACCAGGGCCTTGGCTGTAAACCTGGCCATTCCTGCTACTGTAACTAAACTGGATTATGGAATTTCAGAGGAAGAAGGGAATAGTGCAAAAGGAAAAGACCTTGCTTTCAGGGCTGGGAAAGAAAACTAGGCAGAATGGAGGAAATGAGACCTACAGAACGTGGAATCTCAAATCATTTGTGTCAGCTGTGGACTTGCCTGCCACAGCTGCCTTTCATGGCCCTCCTCCAAATAAAGAGAAACAGAGCAGCCCTCCCCTCGGGGTGAGAGCTTAGCCGATAGTCTGAGCTGGAGGACAGCCACACATCAAAGACAGACTTATTCCACATGTAAAGAGAGGGCAAGGTGAGACTGTTTGCCTCTGTCTTTTTGGCCACAGAGATGATCAATAGGGAAGAGGAGGCCCAGACAGTTTATGTTATAGACCAAAGTCGCTCAGGTGCTTATAGAGCCAGGTCTGCAACAGAGCCCTTCAGCTCTCAGCTGGGGTTCTTCACAGCACCTTATGAGGAAGAGATTTATTGCACCACAACACTAAAGTCCTGGAACGTTTACCTGAATGCAACGTTGTAACAGTGATCTTTGCAAACATAGGCATTTTGTGTTATGGGTACACATATATATTTAGATAAATATATTCTGTATTTATACCTGTTAATTTAAAATGCCTACAATGGTTCATTCATTCCACCAGCATTTGTTGGATGAATGGATTTGAACATCTGAATGTGGGTCGGTCAGTGCTTGTTCAATTTTAATAAGGTAGTGTGAACATGAGAACATTGTACTATAGAAGACATGGTTCTTGCTCCTAAAGTCATCCTAGCTTGATAGAAGAAATTATACATAGAAAGAAGTTATATGTAGAGAGAGAAATTATATATGTAAGTATATGAAGAGAGAGAGGGAAGGAGAAAGAGACAGAGAGAGAGAGAGAGAGAGAGAGAGAGAGAAGGAAATGTAAAGTTGATGGAGTCAGAAGCAGGCACCCAATAAATGAAATGGTAGGGTCAGCAGGAGATAGGTTTTTTTTTCAGAAAGCAACACTTACACAGCTGCTTAGAGGATGAGCAGTTAACAAGCACAATATAGAAAATACCCTACCCTTCAGGTTCCAAAGGCTGGAAGTCATCACAGCTGTGGGACTCTGCAGTCACATGTACGACTGTCATTCCTTAGCAAGGTCTTGCTGTTTACCTTGGAGAGCTCACAAATGTACTTGTTGTTTGGTGTGCAATGAACGCTGTGATTCCAGTCCCTGGAGTCTAGGAGTAGTCTTAGGCGGAAAACAGAAATCTGGATATGGTGAAACATTTAATTTCAAGGAAGATAATATGTAATATTTTTACAACACTGCTAAAAACAAAGCTACCCAAAGGTTTTGTCACACCTAACCTCTCCCTGTCCAGGTCCTGCCTCATCCTTTCAGACCAAGGGAAAATGCCATTTCTAGCAGCTCTTTCCTGATTTCTCCAATTCAAAGTACTCTCTCTCTCTCCTTTCTAAGAGCCCAGAGATATCGCTGCTTCTATGATACCTAATGCATACAATTTTGGATGGCAATGTTAGTGAGATATCTTCGTCTCAGACCTCAAAAAATGTGAAGGATGGATGGGGGTACCCCCCCCCAGGACATCAGGGCAGGTAGAGAAGAAAGTTGAATTGTCCCAGAGCAGAGGAGTCCATGCAGAGAGACACTTCCTCTCTATGCCCCTTCTACCCTACTTCTTGTCCTACCACAACCTGGCCCTTCCAACTGAGCCTTAGTTACCAGAAGCTGATTTGCGTGGCTGTTGTTTCATGCTGTTGCACAGTGACTCCTGGCCCCGGAATGCCCTCCGCTCTCCTTTTCATTCCCCACACACGTGGTCCTAACTATTGCCTGTTCTTTCAGCATTTCTCAGACACTTTCCTTCCTGTCCCTGCCCCTGAGTAAGCTCACCAGCTCTCATCAGTTTCTCTGTGATCTGAAAACATCTCTTTCACCGTACCTTTAATGCCATCGTACTTCTTGGCACACAGACTGCTGGATAGTGAGTAGCCTGGAGTCCGTAGCTGGGTCTTATTTATCTCAGTATACCTAAGAATGGCAAATGAATAAATCTGTACTCTTCTCTTGTCTTCCTTAGGCCCAGAAACTTTGTCTCATTCTTCTGTGTGACAGTTATCACTGCACCCTCTACATGGTGGCCTCACGATAAATGTTTGTTGTTAAATGAACAAATCTAGTCATTCATACTCATACTTTAACATACCAACCCACCATACTATGATACTGGCTTGATTCTTTCTAAATGCCCTGTAAAAATGAAGTATATTTTAAATATTTCTCAAAAGAATCCAACTTTGTCAATAATTTTCAGTCCCCAAATCCCAAGTGCCGTATGTCTCTCACAGGACAAGACTACTTGCAAACCAATACAGCAAATGTCACCTTGGAAAATACCCCAAGCACTCATGCTACAGAAATATATTCCTCTTCTTCCTGTTTCCCACATCTTCTGGGGTAGCAGGAGAGGGTCAGTGAACACATCAACTGCCAGGCCAACAAGCCAAGCAATTGAAAGAAGTCTTGCTTTGGTAGTTGTCATTTGCTTGTCACTGTGGCTTTTCTCGTCCCTGTTTCCTACGGTTTCTGCGAACGTTTTTCATGACTGTAATATCAGCAGGCATGAAGAGTGGTAAGAGAGAATCTCCAAATACAGTTTTAACCTGAAGTTCCCCTTTGTTTCATAATCAAAGTTTTTGCCAGGTGCGAGCTTTGTGTTCCAGGAGAGAACACCCTGGAGTCTTCTTTCTCCCCCCTTTTCAGTGATACAGTGAAAAGGAAAGCGGTGGTTTCAGTGGAGAGACAGAATGTCCCCACGCTCCTGCACTAGTCATTCCCCACCCAGCCTGGGACAGCCCCTCTGCCCCAGGGGAGTGTGTGGGCTCCAGACACGGGCATCGGCTCCATTTCCTCTGTGGCCACACGCATGGCTCTCAGGAGGAGCAGAAGGGCCACGTGTTGCTGGACCATCGGTCCTTAAGAGCTGATGTGGAGCCAGAGTTAAGGGGAAAAGAAGTTTGCAGGAGAGCTTTTGTTCATCCATAGTCCGCAGCCAGCCTGTTCGGTGGAGGTTTTATGTAAAATGTGCTACCTGTGGGAGAATGCAGTTCCTCAGCCACGGGTGTTTCCCAACCTGAGATGGAAAGCAGAGACCTCGTCGCATGTCAGCTTCCAGCCCTAGCTCCGTCCCCCTGTGCCGACTGTCTTTATACCTGTGCCACAGCAGCCCTAGGAACATCAGCTCTGCCTCCCACTAAGCCATTGAATCTACCAACTGCAGCAAATCCTGAGATTCAACAACCACCCACCTGGAAGGAAAAACCATTATCTCTCATGTGTTCCTCCTTCTCCATCCTCTGCTGCCCCAGGCACCTCAGCATTCCCTCACCTGTCTCTCCCTCTCTTTTCAGGCTGAGAGGAACCAGATGGGCCCTGAATTGCTCAGAAACAAGTGGCTGTGCTCTGCATGCAGAGAAGTACAAGTGGTAGGTAAAGTGTGAGATAAATGGGCTGCATACCCCGGGGCACAGCACTCCCTCGTCCTCCATGGAGCCCTGTGGAGAGAGACAGTGATGGGGCCCCTGCGGGGAAAGTCCTGCTGCAAGCTGCAAATGAGGAATGGTAGGTCCCGCACGCAGCACCTACTCTGACACCATAGGATAAACCCCATTTCCACAGCCACAGGTGAGCCAAGGTGACAGGTCACAGGGAAACAGATGAGATGAGCCATTTTGTTTTGGGCTTCTGAGTAACTACACACCCTTGTAAAAAGGTTCCAGAGAGTATAAGTCCTCTTCTACCACTGCAGTAGGGGAGCACTGTGCTTAATCTTTGGGTACCTCACTAATTCAGTCAGCACCTCAGAAAAGATAGGAAGAGATTTGATAGCAGTTCCTGTCTAGGGGGGTCTCAGCTGGCATGGCTTTCCGGGGATGGTGCTGAGGAAGGGGTATTAAGAAAAGAAAGAAGGACATCCGGCGGGTGTAGAGGGGGCAGACATAAGGCTCTGCCACTCTCAGAGTTGCTGAAAAAAGAGGCCTATCTCAGGAAGGTTGCTGTTCCAGGTCAAAGTAAGGTTTTGCTTAACGTAAGGATTAGAGTTCGTATTAGGATAGCTGTTAAGGTCAAGGTAAAGACAAGGCTTGGGTTAAGGATGATTTAGGTACACAGTTATGTTTAGAGTAGGGGATGGGGAAGGATCTCTTAAACACTGGTACGTTGTGATTCTCCTGTGACCTGAGGAGGAAGCAGGGATAAACGTGTGATGAGAGAAAGGGAAAGAGATGAAAAAGAAAAAAAAAAACACCCAAGAAGTACAGAGAAGCTCCTTTCCTGAGTTCATGGCGAAAGTGCTTCAGGCTAGTAGCATAGGGAAGAGAGCGGCAGTTTCGTAAAATTCTTGTGTGGGAATTGGAATTTTAACTGAAGCCACAAGCAAAGATGAACCTGGGAATTGCAATCTGTGTTCACTGAAAGGGGTCGCGCGTGCCCCTTCGGGCGCCGCCTCCCAATCAGGTCACTCACGCACCGAGAGGTCTGGCAGGAGATCTTTACTGAAGGGAGTCAGGCGAGGCACAAAGGCCGGGAGGCGAAGAAAGGGAGGCGGGTACCAAGGGAAGGAGTGTTGGCTCATTTATAGGGTCTTGGGTGGGAGTTTTGCAATTTTAGGGGAATTAGCTGTTTTTTAACCTATTGCAGGCCACATGGCCTTATAAGGTCTTAGTCCTGCAGGAGTCGCTTATCAGATGTTGGCGTCATTTCTGAGAAGAATTCAACTCGGGGAGGAAAATTGGGAAAATGAAACTTAAGTTAGGAAGAACCCGGAAGTCAGGTATAAAATGGAGGAGTTTAAAGTAACATGTACAATTTCCTAACATTCCCCACTCTTTGATTTTGGATGACGACTGGCAGCCAACATGTCCATCAGCAGGTGGAAAAGGGGCGGAGTGTCTGTCTTCTGTAACTACTTCCTGCGGAGTTGGGGCGACGAGTCGATCCAAGGGCAGGGGTTAGCCTGATGTCTAGTTGGCTGCGCTGTCATTGTGTGAGATGAACTGAAGGTTATTGAAATTTTACCTGTAAGATAAAAATCTTAAACACACAGGTTGGTCAGCGGGGAAGGGAACTGAGGCAGGATCTTAATCGAGGGGAGAGTCCAGAAACTGCGGTGAATCATTTTCAGAAATAATGAAAAGTAAAAGAAAAGTGAAAATATCAATTTCAGTTGGCGTGAACTGACAAAGGGATCCCTGGAGCCAGGCCTCAGAGACCCAACTGGTTACCTGTAGGACCGGACAAGGGTGTGGAGTCATCCAACATAGATCGGGGAGCAGATTTTCTAGGAACTCTCTGAACCTGGTGAAGATCCAGATGGACGGTTGGTCCTGGAGGGTGGCTTCCATATGAAGGAAGTTTCGACAGTGTTCGGGTTTTGTGTTCTTGGTATCAGCTGATGAGCCGTTTGTGTGGAGACCTGGGTGGAGAGCTGGTTAGTGTCCCTGTCTTCAGCAGGGACGTGTTGGTACTGTTGACGGAGTACCATGAGTCTGACTGCACTTATTCTCTGTTGAATGAAAGCAGTCAGTCTGTTAATTATGCAGGGTCCCACTATCAATAGAATTAAGATCAGAATTAAAGGACCAGCCAAAGCCGACAGTAGTGATGTGAGCCAAGGAGATGAGGCAAACCAGTTTTCATATCATCCCTGAGATTGTGTCCTTTCTTTTTCCATTTTTCTAGGCCTTCTCTGACCTTGGCCATGGAGTCTCTTACAATTCCAGAATGATCAGTATAATAACAACATTCTTCTCCTAGAGCAGCACACATTCCCCCTTGCTGTTGGAATATTAAATCGATCCCTCTTTTGATCTGAAGAGTTACTTCTGCCAAAGAACTCAGGGATTCTTGCAGCTTAGTGATTGACAGATCTATTCTCTCTATATCTTGATCAGTTGCTATCCGCAAGCCATTGTATTGCTGATGTTGTGTGATGAGGGCGGCTGTTCCAGTACTGGCTCCTGCAACGCCCATCCCCAGTAATATTGCTAGGGTTACGGCTGTTACTGGATCTCTTTTAACCCTTTTTATATCATTCCATTCATCTAGGAAGTTGTTGTATTCATGATAGAGTATCCGGGGCATTAGGTCGATCAAGATACAGTAATCTTTAGATTGTGCTAATATTTGTCCATTCACACAAGGGGTCAAACCAGAGGAGCACGCCCACCATCTATTATTGGAGGGGATATAATATGCAGTGGCATTCACAGGATAGGTTTTATTACAGAGATATTCATATGAACTAGGAGCAACACCTATGCAGGTACCAGAGCCCCGAATAGATGTGAGAGTGACTTGTCCCATTGTTCCTTTTCCCCATCTGCAACCGGTATAATCGGGAGACGGTGAAGGTGGCTTGAGATCCAATTCCCTCGTAATATGGAGGTTTTATATCATAACATAGCCAGCAGTTTGTAGTGATTTCAGGCCTAGTATCATTAAGTACTGAAAAAGCTTGTTCCATAATTTTAAACAAGGGATCAGAGGAATTGGGATCTTGGGATGGTTGAGTCTGTCTATTATCTGTCACTGGGCTGGAAGTAGTGACCCATCTCTGGGTAGGTCTATGGCCAATTTTTAATTCAGGTTTTGGGGTTGGTTTTGACTTAGAGACTGGCTTAAGAGTCGGTGGTGTATCAATCTTGATAGTTTGGCGAATGCCAAACAGGAGTCCTTGGTCATAGCCTTTTGTGTATATTCTTAGTCCCCATTGTTTTCCTATTTTCCATTCTTCTAAGGGTACCTGTTTTCCCAAGTTGGTGAAGGATATTAATATGGGGTTGCATCGGAACTTGTTGCATTGTGAATAATGATAATGTTGTGAATAATGGACAGATCCTATTTTATTGAGCGTTTGAGGCTTTTGAGTGACTGATATAAAATCTGTTTTTATACCAACCGAGTGTCCCGGTATGGTGCTGGATGATTTGCAACCCCATGTCTTACAATAAAAATCACTTTGTCCCCCACAGCCTGTTTTACCTTTTATATGTTTTGGGCAAACATATATGGGTTGATCTAAAAGCTTTGATCTGGGATATTTATGAGCACATCCTGGTCCTTCATTATAGTCCCAATTACAGTGTCCTCTGCACCTGGGCACACCCTCTAAATCGTATTCCCAATCAGCTACATCCCATGTGTTTCCTAGGGCCATATCGTACAAATCGAATTCAAGAGATGGCCACCAAATGGTTGGGGGAGTCCATTTAGACACTGAACTTATTATTTTACCAGTTGAGGGATTAATTATCATCCAAGTAACTTTTACGGGTTGATGAGGACTTAACTTTTCAGACAGGCAAATCGTAATAGAATGAAATATAGCAATCATAAATACATATCTATGGGGTCTCTTTTCCATTGTCATATATAAATCCTAACCTATTTTAAGCAGGCAAGGAAGGCAAACGCACTGACAATCAAATAATAAGTTAGCATCAATATTATTCTATGTCTTAATGTAAAATCTGAAGGAGCTGCAGAAGCTAAGCCTATCCCCAGGAGTATTCCACTGAGAACTACCAGGAGAAAGCTTAACACATTGAACAGGGATGTAACGGTGAATACTTTACAATATTCCATGGAAGCACTTAGGTGTTTTGGGTGCTGGAGATCTCTCGTGTGTCCAAATTTAGGTCAGGTTTTTCTTCTGCAATTTTAGTGAGTTTTATCTTGAGAGGTCCCGTATGGGTTGCTGAGTATGCTGAAGAGGAATCTGTTGAAGGGTCAGGAGGGGAAGAAGCAGGTAAAAAAGGCTTAAGTCGAGAACAGTGAAACCAGCCGTGGAGAGACTTTAGTTTTGCTGCAGTTGGAGTGGATAGAACTACTGTAAATGGTCCCTGACATTTAGGTTTAAGAGGGCCTTTTTGTTAGTTAGGTGGAGCCAAGAGGACTTGATCTCCAGGTTGGTAGGAAGGCAGGAGATCCGATATGGGGCAAGGTAATAGTGAATCTACATGATGCCATAACTGGGCCCACATGTGATTGAGTAAAGGAATTAATAGGGTGGGGGGAAGAGGGGAGGTTTGGGTGTTCAGTCCTGGTGGCAGTATGGGGTGTCCAAACATCAATTCAAAGGGAGAGATCTGGAGGGGGGCTTTGGGGAGGGATGTTAACCTTAATAAAGTGAGGGGCAAGAGTGTAACCCAATCTAGGTGGAGTTCTAAGGTCAGTTTAGTGAGGATGGACTTGATAGACCTATTGGTACGTTCTATCTTTCCTGACGCTTGGGGCTGGAATGGGATATGGAAATGCCAGGAGATTCCCATGAATTTGATGAGAACCTGGGTTATCTGGGAGGTGAACTCAGGTCCATTATCAGATTGGAAGGAAGTGGGGAGTCCAAATCTGGGAATGAGTTCTTTATAGATCAAAAGAGAAACAGTAGAGGCCCATTTGTTTGTAGTAGGGAAGGCCTCAACCC